GACAAATAATAATCACACAATACTGCTTTTACATGGTTTATGTTCGCAGGTGATGGTGTATTACTTAGGACGAGCTAACATATGTAGATTTTCAGGCTTATTCTTTTAGACATGTTATTTCTATACTTGCCAAAGATTATCACGTTATAGCAGTTGATTGGTTGGGTAAGTTATATAGTTATGTCTTCTGTTCTATCATCATGGATAGGCTTTGGATTCTCGGACAAACCATTATATGGTAATGGATTTAATTATACAACTCAAGGTAATGAACATAGACTGTTTTTAATTTTGTAGACTGTTTTTGTTTTTTCTTAAAACCTGCAGAGTATACAAATGCGCTTAGCTGTTTGGTGGATCGATTAAAATCAAACCAAATTTCTATAGTTGCTCAGGTAACTAAACACTAAATCTTTTTAAAAGGATTTTTTAAAGCTTTTTAAGACAGGGACATTTTACACCTCCAGTCGTAGAATATATTAGCGCAAATCCTTTCAAAATAGTTAAACTTATCATGATTAATCCACCAGTAAGTAATCAAGAAACACAAAACATTATTTCATTTATTATTTCTTATACAGGTATCTAAAGAACACAGTGCTTTACCATCAAATCTCTTAGAATTTACAAATTTATTCTTAGGTGATATATTTTCCCAGGTAAACTAGAATTACAAGAGCTTTCTAGCTATAAAGATTTGCTTATGTCAGGATCCTTTTAAAGCAAGTGATGGTGCTATGTCAAGAATAAGTTATTATGCTATAACAGAGGAGGATAAAATGGTTTATAGAAAGCCATATTTATCATCAGGATCAGCTGGATTTGCACTAAAGTCTGTGATTAAAAGTTTTAAAAAAGAGTTAAAGGTAATGCATTTCTCTAATGAATAAATATATTCTTGCTAAACATTTGGCTATAGGATTCAATTTTATCAGTTCGATCTTTATTAACGTCTAAAAACTGGGAAACACCTATATATTTTATTGGTGGTTTGAACGACAGATGGCTAAATTATAAATCACTCAAAACCTTTTGTGAGGAGTTCCAATTTAAACTAATCACTTTAGACAAGGTATAGCAAATATTTCAACATTAGTTTTAATATATTATTTTCAGGGTGGACATCTTCTACAAGAAGACATTGAAATTGACCTAGCAAATATAATAACAGGTTTATTAAAAAGTCCATAAAATAACAAAAACCAACCAATCTATATATAGTCACCAGTTATATATCAGTTTTCATAGACTTAAAAAATGAATGGTTTTCTTTTCTCTTTATCACTAGTTCTTAATGTTTTACCATTAATTAAAACTCAAGTTGATCCATGTACAAAAGATGAAGATTGCATAAAAGGTTATGAATGCAGGAACTTTAATTGTTATGTACGTCCAAGTTGTTTTCCAGGTAATTTTACTCCTTTTCTTGTTTTAAGAATACATTGTTTTTTTGTAATAGCTGATGCTATTATAAAACTTTATAATGGTAAAACAAAGCAAGTGAAGGATATTTCTATTGGTGATAAGGTTTGTAGTTTTATAGAGCTTTAGTTCTTGCCTTTGATGGTGATGTTAATATGGGTAGGTTGCAATTCAAAATAAAAAAGGTATTATAGATTATTCTGATATATATGCTTTTGGACACCAAGATCTTAAAGCCTATAAAGAGTTTATTCATATTGATATTAGTAATAGAAAAAGCATTGAGTTATCTTCATTTCATTATATACCTGTTATATGTAAGTATGTTTGAAATAGTTATTATGGCCACTAATAGTTTTATCTTTAGATTCAAAATCAACTATTTACAAATATGCTAATGATGTTATATTAACTGATGTTTTATTAGCATTAGATGAAAAATCAGGAAAGATTATACCTTACAATATAACAGGTAAGAAAACTTATATTTTTTTCTTGTACTTATTTAAGTATTTTTAGATATTTATGTGGTAAAAAAATATGGCCTTTATAATCCATTCATATTATCTGGAGATTTAATTGTAAATGATATTGTAGTTTCAACACATAGTGATTGGTTTTTAGATGGGTTATTTAGATATTTTAAACTAAGTCATTTACTACCTCACATATATCATTTTATTTTGTTTCCTATTCAAGTTCTATATGAAAAGTTAACTTTTGAGATTTATTTAAAGATATACAGCTTTGTAACAAATAATAGTATTATATTCAATTATATTAGTGGCATTGTGAGAGCTACAGTTTTCTGGACGTTTTTTTCAAAACCAAAATACTAAAAAATGTAGAAAAACAATAGTAAATAAAGTGGATTTGAATTTCAATGTATTGCTTTAAACTCTCTCTCTCTCTCATTTTCTCTCTCTCTCTCTCATTTTCTCTCTCTCTCTCTCTTTCACACATACACACACACACAGAGAAAGAGAGAGATTGTTAGTGTTTTCTAACTTAAAGTAAAACTATTAACAATATATTCTATTGACGCTTTGTCAACAGTTGTGTGCTATGCATAGTAGGATAGTTGCTAGCACTTGAGTATAATAATAAAATTTGCTGTAATTTTTAGAGTTTTTACGATCAAACAATCAAAATAATATTAATACTCCGGTGCTCTTGGACTGAAGTACTGCTGGTATACACCACTCTCCACGATTTCCAGCATCCTGGTCGCATTTTTCTTGATACACCTTGGCAGCTTGAATTGAGAAACACTTCCACCCCTGGATGCGGCATCATCAGCGATTCGATTGAAAGTCCCTGGTGTCACAAGCCTCAGCTCCAGAGCTCCAATGGATCTCTCCATCCTCCCCCTGTGATACACCACGCTCAGTGATTCTTCCATCTTGTAGCAGCACTCTCCTGCCTTTTCCGGTTCCAAGTGAAGCTCGCTGGACAGCTCCCAGTAAATCACGTAGTGCGGAGGATTGGAGGAGAGGTCGGCATAGCTGGTGTAGTCCGTCAATCTTATTGCCTCCCCCTCCTTGCTCGTGACGCCATTTCGCAATGCCGCAAACGCGTTCATGACTGCGGTCTGGAGCTCCTTCTCGTCCGTTTTGTCCGAGTCGATGCTAAGTAGAACGTTCCTCCGGCAGACGAAGCTGAAGAGCGGAGCTTTGTTGTGGAAGCCCTCGACTCTAAGAACGTCACCCATGCGATATCTGTACAATCCTGATGGAAAGAGCCAGAAAAGATAAAGATACAAGCCAAGACAATGAACTGGAAACTATACCAGCGTTTGTCGTGATCACAAGCTCGTACTCGTGGCCTTGTTCCACATCAACGAGTTCCACGGGCTCTTCACGAGAAGCTTTCTCCTCCGATCGAGCCACCGGCAGAAACTCGTAGTAGGACGTCTCGGGCAGAAACATGTAGGAGATCTGGGACGGATCGCAAAGCGGCTTGAGATTCACTCCAAAGAAAGACTCCGAGGACGCGTAGATCATGGATGCTATTGGCAGGCCGTCGGTGAGATAGTCGACTTCTCCAACATACTGCTCCATAGCACCGGTGACGACTGTGTCGATAGCTTTGGCACTGGGCCACAGCTTCCGGACGATTCCTTTCAAGCTTCCACTCAAGCACGCCTCGTCGATCACGTTCGCAAGCTCTGGATCCGGCCTTAAGATCTTCTCCACGGCTTCTCTGCAAGCCGGATCCACAACTCTCTCGGACAAAGTTCCCGTTCGTATGTCCCTGGAAAGCTCCTGCCACCAGGCTTCGAGGCACCTTATCGACCTCACGAGCGCCGACGCAAAGAAGCAGCCCAGCTTCGTCACGTCTCGGGCGTGGATCAAACCACACAGCAAGTGGCAGTAGGAGGCTTGCACGCTGTCCGTGCAAAGTATCACCTCCAGGGGGCTTGTATAATCGTTGCTTGGATCGAAAAGCCAGTTGCGGAACTCTGGACTGTTGTAGTATCCCGTCAGTGCTGGATAAGCTGGAAGTCCTCCAGGAGTCTTGCGGCCACTTCTCACGTATAAGAAGTACAAAGCTTTGCCGGTCCTCAGTCCAGGCAAGTCCCTACAGATTCGAAGGAACAAACAATCATAAGCTTTGGAGGAAAATGACGACGAATACCTGTTGAGCAGAGCGGTGGCAAGATCAAAGAAGTAATCCGACACAGCATAGTGTCCCTCCGCTTTCGGGAACAGCTTGTGAGCCCCGCCGGAGGTCCCAGAGCTGCCAAAAGATCTTTGCAAAATCGACAAACTAGAGATAAACTTACCTCGTGAACATATCCGTGATAGGATTCGCAGAGAGCAAAGTAGAGGCCTCGCCGTCGGCAATTCGATTGATCTCATCCTTGATGTCTTCGTACTCAATGACCGGCGCTCTCTGCCGAAACACCTCCTTGGTTGCTGCTCGCAATCCATGCCTATTGAAGTAGTCTGTGGCGGCATTCTTCTCCAGGATCTCGGCCAGAACTTTATCCTGAGCCTCACCGGGACTCCAGCTCGAGCTCTCGAGCTTCTCAAGCAGGAGCTGCTCGTTCTCCATCGTCTAAACCCGGAAAGGCACAAGAGGTAAGAAATAAAAGAAGAGTCAAATATACCTCCGTTTGCAAGTGTTAAATCAGCACGTTTCTACTAACATAGTAAAATACAATACACACCAGAAGCTTTTGAAACAATCACAATGTCTGCTTGAATTATTGCTATGTGAAAAGAAGAAAGAAAAAAACGAAGCACAGACTTCGTTTGGAAGTGTTAAATCAGCACGTTTCTACTAACATAGTAAAATACAATACACACCAGAAGCTTTTGAAACAATCACAATGTCTGCTTGAATTATTGCTATGGGAAAAGAAGAAAGAAAAAAACGAAGCACAGACCTCATTTGGAAGTGTTAAATCAGCATGTTTCTACTAACATAGTTAAATACAATACGCACCAGAAGCTTTTGAAACAATCACTGCTTGAATTATTACAATGTGAAAACAAAAGAAAAATACGAAGCACAGACCTCGTTTGGTTTGAAGCAGAAACTTTTTTATTCTCACCAGCCCGCACCCAAAGCTTTTAAAACGCATCGACTGTTCTTGACACTGGCGACTTAAACTCGTCCCAGACCAGCTTCGCGCACTGATGGTTGAGCGAATCAATCTGTTCTCCCGCTTCCCCTCCAGCACTAGAGCCGGAGCTTCGGTCTCCAACTAGTAGAGCAGGAGGACTAGAGCTTTTGCCTCCAGCAATCGTCGAAGAAGCTCTATTGTTGTCATGAGATAAGCAAATCTCTGTCACCACCCCCGGACCGTTTGCAGCCAGCTTCGCCTGTGCTAGCCGGATCCTCTCGGCGCGAGAGCCAATCACCTGTCCCAGGATGGATGCCCCGATAGTGAAAGCCATAGCGAGCTTTGTCATGTTGACAGCCTTTCTCATCATAGCAATGAATGGCACTGCTGCATGGACCGCAACGAACCACTTCAGAGAGAACTTCTTTGTGTGTTCGCACCAGACCCCCAGCGGCATGTTGGTTGCCATCCCCAGGAGGCCGATTGCCAGGAGTTTGGATGGCAATGGTTGAGGCCTCAAGTTCTTTGCGAACAGGGTGGCTTGAGTGGCGATGATAGCCGGTGGACACCGGTACTTCATCCCTGAGGGTGGTTTGAACCACTTTGTGACGAGAGGTAGCACTCCAGAGCGTGCGATTGGGCAGTTCCCAGTTGCCAGCCACTCGGAGCCAAGAGCTTCGTGAAGATGGTCTTGAAAATGTTTCATTGAATCATCAGAAGGAAGAAGAAGGAAAAAAAAAAAATTCATGACAATGACAGGAAATGAATGCAAAGTTACAGTAATTTGATGAATCAAAACAAAGAAATCACACCATAGCAGTCCTAAGGATTATTGAAATGGAAGAACCTGGTTAATCGTATTGCTTGGTGGGCTTTGAAATTTTAGATATATAATTTTGATGTTGTTCATTGCCCAGGGAGTTTTATGACTGATGCTGATACTCTTTCTTGAACTCCTCTTCCTTCTTCACTCTCTTCTCATATTTCTGATGAGCTTGTTATTCCAGCATCTGTGAATTTTTTAAACAAGGATTCTGTACCGTCGACGGTTGTTATACTTGACATTTAATGTCCACAATGTGCAGAATAAGATCTACCTTCTCTTTGATGAGGTTCGCGAGGCTCCAAATATTGAGCCAAATATCGTTCTTAGACGTTGTTACAAGGTAATCATGCTATTATTACATCATTATTGAAGCGGAAGAACTTGGTTGATCGTATTGCTCGGTGGGCTTTGAAGATTCAGATATATAATTTTGATGTTGTTCATTGCCCGGGGAGTTCTATAGCTGATGCTAATTCCCTTTCTTGAGCTCTTCTTCCTTCTTCGCTTTCTTTTTATGTTTTTAACGAGCTTGTTGTTCTAGCATCTACAGATTTTCTACACAAGAATTCTGTGCTATCAACAGTTGCTATTCTTGATGTTCAGTGTCCATAAGATACAAAGCAAGATCTACCTTCTTTTGATGAAGTTCGTGAGGCTCAAAAGATTAAGTTGTGAATTCGAAAGCTTCAAGAAGGGTTTGAGAATCCTACATCACTTGCTGACGACTTACCATTCCGGCATTTAAGTTCTTAATATCGCCTTAAAAACAACTTTTTTTATTTTATGGGGATGGATTTTGATGATCATTTATGGCTGGTGGTGCCTTCAATGTTTATTCCACGATTTTTCCATGCATACTATGATTCTCCTATTTTAGGTGGGCATATGGGACATCATCATATGACCAAGAAGCTGCACAGATCTTTCTATTAGCTAAAGATGCGATGTGATGTTATCCGGTATATGTATAAATGCGTTTAGTATTAAGCACGTAATACTCCCCTTTATACTGCAGAAGGATGATTGGAGTCAATTGCAGTTTCCCATTCGTTTGAGTTGGTGGCATTTGATCTTATAGGACCTTTTCCATGATCGACTTTTGGTAGTGAGTATGTTATTATTGCTTCTAACTACTTGACTTGTTAGGTGAAAATTGGTGCTCTTGCTAGTGCCTCTGGAACTACTGTTAGATACTTCCTCCTTAATGAAGTGGTGTTCTAGCATTCTTCTCCGGAGCGGATTCTTTCGGTAATGGTCCCATATTTATAGTTAAGGCATTTCATGTTTTGACATCTTGGTTGGGAATACACCACACTTTCATGAGTGTTTATTATCCATAGTCAGACGGTTTAGTGGAATGGCTTGTTCAAACATTCAAAGGGATGATCGTTAAGTATATGAACTTTCAGCATTCGGATTGGGATGGTTATTTACTGTTTTTTCAATATACATATGTCACAAGGGTGCAAAATTATATTGGTGTTTCACTATATAAACTCCTATATGGTCATGATCCAATATTACCAACGGAGTTGGGTTTACCTTTGCAATTGCCACGAGCTACCGATGCTAGGTCGTGGGATCAGTTTTTGATGAGCATTCTTCCACTTGTCCAAATAGAGTCTACTAAATACCTAAGCCACATACAAGTGGGACAATAACGACACTACAATTCACATCATTGTTCACCTACAGAGTACAAAGTGGATGACTTGGTGTTAGTCTATTTTCCCCATCTTATGATACATAGTTTATCTAAAAGGCTCCTTGCTTAGTGAAAAGGGCCATATCAAGTATTGTGGCAAGTTAGACCACACGTTTATGAGATATGGCATAATGTCAAGTAAGTTAATCCTCCAAAAATTGTGCATGTGCAACAGTTGAAATATTTTGTACAAAGGGATTAGGAATAACTGATACCATCTACAAATCCACCAATGCCTCCTGTTGATGGTAGGGATGATATGAGATTCAAGTGTATGGTTACAATGCCGTATATTATAATTAGCATAGTGGGATTTTAGTAGCTGTTGGATTGGTTTTAATTTGGACCACTCACTCCTATATATAAACTAGGGTTTTTGAGCTAATAGATATGCATAATTTTATTATTCCCTAGACATAATACTTGGTTTTTAGATGGGTTATTTAAATATTTTAAACTAAGTCATTTACTACCTGATATATATCATTTTATTTTGTTTCCTATTCAAATTCTATATAAAAAGTTAACTTATGAGATTTATTTAAAGATACACAGCTTTATAACAAATAAAGGTACTATACTGAATTATATTAGTGGCATTGTGACAGCTACAATTTTATAGATGCTTATTCAAAATCAATATACTAAATAAAGGTTAAAAATGTAGAAAAAATAGCAAATAAAGTGGGATTTTAAGCATTTGAATTTCAGTGTATTACTCTGAACTCTCTTGTTAGTGTTTTCTAAGTTAAGGTGATGAAACTATTGATCATATATTCTACTGACGCTTGACAACAGTTGTGTGCTATGCAGTTTATAGTACGATAGTTGCTAGCACTTGAGTATAATAATAAAATTTGCTGTAATTTTTAGAGTTTTTACGATCAAACAATCAAAATAATATTAATACTCCGGTGCTCTTGGACTGAAGTACTGCTGGTATACACCACTCTCCACGATTTCCAGCATCCTGGTCGCATTTTTCTTGATACACCTTGGCAGCTTGAATTGAGAAACACTTCCACCCCTGGATGCGGCATCATCAGCGATTCGATTGAAAGTCCCTGGTGTCACAAGCCTCATCTCCAGAGCTCCAATGGATCTCTCCATCCTCCCCCTGTGATACACCACGCTCAGTGATTCTTCCATCTTGTAGCAGCACTCTCCTGCCTTTTCCGGTTCCAAGTGAAGCGCGCTGGACAGCTCCCAGTAAATCACGTAGTGCGGAGGATTGGAGGAGAGGTCGGCATAGCTGGTGTAGTCCGTCAATCTTATTGCCTCCCCCTCCTTGCTCGTGACGCCATTTCGCAATGCCGCAAACGCGTTCATGACTGCGGTCTGGAGCTCCTTCTCGTCCGTTTTGTCCGAGTCGATGCTAAGTAGAACGTTCCTCCGGCAGACGAAGCTGAAGAGCGGAGCTTTGTTGTGGAAGCCCTCGACTCTAAGAACGTCACCCATGCGATATCTGTACAATCCTGATGGAAAGAGCCAGAAAAGATAAAGATACAAGCCAAGACAATGAACTGGAAACTATACCAGCGTTTGTCGTGATCACAAGCTCGTACTCGTGGCCTTGTTCCACATCAACGAGTTCCACGGGCTCTTCACGAGAAACTTTCTCCTCCGATCGAGCCACCGGCAGAAACTCGTAGTAGGAGGTCTCGGGCAGAAACATGTAGGAGATCTGGGACGGCTCGCAAAGCGGCTTGAGATTCACTCCAAAGAAAGACTCCGAGGACGCGTAGATCATCGACGCTATTGGCAGGCCGTCGGTGAGATAGTCGACTTCTCCAACATACTGCTCCATAGCACCGGTGACGACTGTGTCGATAGCTTTGGCACTGGGCCACAGCTTCCGGACGATTCCTTTCAAGCTTCCACTCGAGCACGCCTCGTCGATCACGTTCGCAAGCTCTGGATCCGGCCTTAAGATCTTCTCCACGGCTTCTCTGCAAGCCGGATCCACAACTCTCTCGGACAAAGTTCCCGTTCGTATGTCCCTGGAAAGCTCCTGCCACCAGGCTTCGAGGCACCTTATCGACCTCACGAGCGCCGACGCAAAGAAGCAGCCCAGCTTCGTCACGTCTCGGGCGTGGATCAAACCACACAGCAAGTGGCAGTAGGAGGCTTGCACGCTGTCCGTGCAAAGTATCACCTCCATGGGGCTTGTGTAGTCGTTGCTTGGATCGAAAGGCCGGTTGCGGAACTCTAGACTGTTGTAGTATCCCGTCAGTGCTGGATAAGCTGGAAGCCCTCCAGGAGTCTTGCGGCCACTTCTCACGTATAAGAAGTACAAAGCCTTTCCGGTTCTCAGTCCAGGCAAGTCCCTACAGATTCGAAGGAACAAACAATCATAAACTTTGGAGGAAAATGACGACGAACACCTGTTGAGAAGAGCGGTTGCAAGATCAAAGAAGTATTTCGACACAGCATAGTGTCCCTCCACTTTCGGGAACAGCTTGTGAGCCCCGCCGGAGGTCCCAGAGCTACCACAAAGTCTTTGCGAAATCGACAAAAACTAGAGATAAGCTTACCTCGTGAACATATCCGCGATAGGATTCGCACAGAGCAAAGTAGAGGCCTCGCCGTCGGCAATTCGATTGATCTCATCCTTGATGTCTTCGTACTCAATGACCGGCGCTCTCTGCCGAAACACCTCCTTGGTTGCTGCTCGCAATCCATGCCTGTTGAAGTAGTCTGTGGCGGCATTCTTCTCCAGGATCTCGGCCAGAACTTTATCCTGAGCCTCACCGGGACTCCAGCTCGAGCTCTCGAGCTTCTCAAGCAGGAGCTGCTCGTTCTCCATCGCCTAAACCCGGAAAGGAAACGGGGCACAAGAGGTAAGAAATAAACGAAGAGTCAAACATACCTCCCTTTGGAAGAGTTAAATCAGCACGTTTCTACTGACACGGTAAAATACAATACACACCAGAAGCTTTAAAAACAATCACAATTTTTGCTTGAATTATTGCAATGTGGAAAGAAGAAAGAAAAAAACGAAGCACAGACCTCGTTTGGTTTGAAGCAGAAACTTTTTTATTCTCACCAGCCCGCACCGAAAGCTTTTAAAACGCATCGACTGTTCTTGACACTGGCGACTTAAACTCGTCCCAGACCAGCTTCGCGCACTGATGGTTGAGCGAATCAATCTGTTCTTCCGCTTCCCCTCCAGAAC